TACGTATATGAATGGCTTTTCTATTTTTTGCTGAAGTCTTGAAGGATAAAAAGGAAATGTTGGAAGTGCACAAGAAAGTTATTCAAAACTTGAGTAGAAAGCTTGAGGCGAAAGAAGAGGTTAGTAAATTGTACGTTTAGATTTTCTCTATTCTGTGCGATGTTTTATTCATGCTGCATACGCACAAGATTGTCAAAACTCTTTTTCTTGTTATTTTATTGATAATTGTGCTTATTGCAGTTTGAAAGTGAGGACACATTTATTCTTATTCTTATGTCACCAATGAGGCCAGGCTTAAACACTTTTAGTCGCATTGTCGCAGATCTGCAGCGATCGCCAGAGGCGTAACTAGAACGTTAATTGTGTGTAGGGGTGTTCACATTCATATATTCCGTTGTGCCCTACTGATGAAATTAAATTGAATTTCAAAAGAAATCTGTCGGGCGAAACTGACTATAAGAATATTTACCCCTCATTTAACGTTCTAGTTAAGCCTCTGTCAATCGCGAAAGCAGGTAAGAAAATTCGCCACGATGTAACACGATATCACGAATTTGATAAATGTTATCCATATAAAGCGTTTCTGTATTTGTATCGTGTAAGTGACTTGATTCTGAAGATGACTACCGCTAAGGTTTTCAAAACGTCAGTCAACATCAACACCAATAGTCCTTCTCAGGACTCTGGACGATCTACATCCGCAAAGAAGTAATGAGTTAGACGTGGTTGTCTATTTATTCACGAGGTTTTAATGGTTTTCTTTTGTGTTCTCGCCCGTAAAAATCGTTAAAAACACTCCTGATCGTGTTAATAAATTTTTTATTTCAATGTTAGCTCATCGAGAGTTCTTTGTCAAAGAATTCAAGATTTGCTTCCTCTGGAAGCTGTTGTTGTTGAAAACATGACCATGTCGTTTAATTTTCGACTAGGCGAGATCACAACCCTTAAAGGTCGCTGCGACATGGATACAGTAACCATGACTGAATTGAAGCAAGTTTTGAAGGAGCAAGAAGATCACATCGGCCAGTTAGAGGCGTGTAATGGCGATCTAAGGCTTGGCCGCCATCATGTCGAAAAGCGTTTGAAGGGCGTTCGCGAAGAACTCGAGGAAGCACAGAAAAATCTCCAGGGACTTGAAAATGAGATAGCTCATAATGCTGAAGTCTTGAAGGAGAAAAAGGAAATGTTGGAAGTGCACAAGAAACTTATTCAAAACTTGAGTAGAAAGCTTGAGGCGAAAGAAGAGGTTAGTAAATTGTACGTTTAGATTTTCTCTATTCTGTGCGATGTTTTATTCATGCTGCATACGCACAAGATTGTCGAAACTCTTTTTTCTTGTTATTTTTATTGATAATTGTGCTTATTGCAGTTTGAAAGTGAGGACACATTTATTCTTATCCTTATGTCACCAATGAGGCCAGGCTTAAACTCTTTTAGTTGCATTGTCGCAGATCTGCAGCGATCGCCAGAGGCGTAACTAGAACGTTAATTGTGTGGGGTGTTCACATTCATATATTCCGTTGTCCCTACTGATAAATTAAATTGAATTTCAAAAGAAATCTGTCGGGCGAAACTGACTATAAGAATATTTACCCCTCATTTAACGTTCTAGTTAAGCCTCTGTCAATCGCGAAAGCAGGTAAGAAAATTCGCCACGATGTAACACGATATCACGAATTTGATAAATGTTATCCATATAAAGCGTTTCTGTATTTGTATCGTGTAAGTGACTTGATTCTGAAGATGACTACCGCTAAGGTTTTCAAAACGTCAGTCAACATCAACACCAATAGTCCTTCTCAGGACTCTGGGCGAAAAAAATGGCTATTTCATTCTCATTTCTATTTCATTGAATGGCTTTTACGTATATGAATGGCTTTTCTATTTTTTGCTGAAGTCTTGAAGGAGAAAAAGGAAATGTTGGAAGAGCGCAAGAAAGTTATTCAAAACTTGAGTAGAAAGCTTGAGGCGAAAGAAGAGGTTAGTAAATTGTACGTTTAGATTTTCTCTATTCTGTGCGATGTTTTATTCATGCTGCATACGCACAAGATTGTCGAAACTCTTTTTTCTTGTTATTTTTATTGATAATTGTGCTTATTGCAGTTTGAAAGTGAGGACACATTTATGCTTATCCTTATGTCACCAGTGAGGGCCAGGCTTAAACACTTTTAGTTGCATTGTCGCAGATCTGCAGCGATCGCCAGAGGCGTAACTAGAACGTTAATTGTGTGTGGGGGTGTTCACATTCATATATTCCGTTGTGCCCTACTGATGAAATTAAATTGAATTTCAAAAGAAATCATTCGAGCGAAACTGACTATAAGAATATTTACCCCTCATTTAACGTTCTAGTTAAGCCTCTGTCAATCGCGAAAGCAGGTACGAAAATTCGCCACGATGTAACACGAAATCACGAATTTGATAAATGTTATCCATATAAAGCGTTTCTGTATTTGTATCGTGTAAGTGACTTGATTCTGAAGATGACTACCGCTAAGGTTTTCAAAACGTCAGTCAACATCAACACCAATAGTCCTTCTCAGGACTCTGGACGATCTACATCCGCAAAGAAGTAATGAGTTAGACGTGGTTGTCTATTTATTCACGAGGTTTTAATGGTTTTCTTTTGTGTTCTCGCCCGTAAAAATCGTTAAAAACACTCCTGATCGTGTTAATATTATTTTTATTTCAATGTTAGCTCATCGAGAGTTCTTTGTCAAAGAATTCAAGATTTGCTTCCTCTGGAAGCTGTTGTTGTTGAAAACATGACCATGTCATTTAATTTTCGACTAGGCGAGATCACAACCCTTACAGGTCGCTGCGACATGGATACAGTAACCATGACTGAATTGAAGCAAGTTTTGAAGGAGCAAGAAGATCACATCGGCCAGTTAGAGGCGTGTAATGGCGATCTAAGGCTTGGCCGCCATCATGTCGAAAAGCGTTTGAAGGGCGTTCGCGAAGAACTCGAGGAAGCACAGAAAAATCTCCAGGGACTTGAAAATGAGATAGCTCATAATGCTGAAGTCTTGAAGGAGAAAAAGGAAATGTTGGAAGTGCACAAGAAACTTATTCAAAACTTGAGTAGAAAGCTTGAGGCGAAAGAAGAGGTTAGTAAATTGTACGTTTAGATTTTCTCTATTCTGTGCGATGTTTTATTCATGCTGCATACGCACAAGATTGTCGAAACTCTTTTTTCTTGTTATTTTTATTGATAATTGTGCTTATTGCAGTTTGAAAGTGAGGACACATTTATGCTTATCCTTATGTCACCAGTGAGGGCCAGGCTTAAACACTTTTAGTTGCATTGTCGCAGATCTGCAGCGATCGCCAGAGGCGTAACTAGAACGTTAATTGTGTGTAGGGGTGTTCACATTCATATATTCTGTTGTGCCCTACTGATGAAATTAAATTGAATTTCAAAAGAAATCTGTCGGGCGAAACTGACTATAAGAATATTTACCCCTCATTTAACGTTCTAGTTAAGCCTCTGTCAATCGCGAAAGCAGGTACGAAAATTTGCCACGATGTAACACGATATCACGAATTTGATAAATGTTATCCATATAAAGCTTTTCTGTATTTGTATCGTGTAAGTGACTTGATTCTGAAGATGACTACCGCTAAGGTTTTCAAAACGTCAGTCAACATCAACACCAATAGTCCTTCTCAGGACTCTGGACGATCTACCTCCGCAAAGAAGTAATGAGTTAGACGTGGTTGTCTATTTATTCACGAGGTTTTAATGGTTTTCTTTTGTGTTCTCGCCCGTAAAAATCGTTAAAAACACTCCTGATCGTGTTAATATTATTTTTATTTCAATGTTAGCTCATCGAGAGTTCTTTGTCAAAGAATTCAAGATTTGCTTCCTCTGGAAGCTGTTGTTGTTGAAAACATGACCATGTCGTTTAATTTTTGACTAGGCGAGATCACAACCCTTAAAGGTCGCTGCGACATGGATACAGTAACCATGACTGAATTGAAGCAAGTTTTGAAGGAGCAAGAAGATCACATCGGCCAGTTAGAGGCGTGTAATGGCGATCTAAGGCTTGGCCGCCATCATGTCGAAAAGCGTTTGAAGGGCGTTCGCGAAGAACTCGAGGAAGCACAGAAAAATCTCCAGGGACTTGAAAATGAGATAGCTCATAATGCTGAAGTCTTGAAGCAGAAAACGGAAATGTTGGAAGTGCACAAGAAACTTATTCAAAACTTGAGTAGTAATAATAGTAATAGTTAATAATAACAATAACAATAACAATTGGTTACTTCAAGTATTGATATTCAGGCATAAATCAATAAAGATACCAATAAAATTCGCAATAAATAAATACTATTTGCTAAACATGAAAAAAAACATTCATATCGAAATTGTTTTAGTTATTTAACTATTTAACATAAAAGACCGTTGTGTCAAATACTTCAATACTAAGCTATTTGATAAGTCGTTTTGCTATTTATTAGTACAAAGATGAACAGGAAATTCGACAAGAATATTGTGATATTTGGGATTCATGTCAGCCATCTGTTGCATCTGCGCTCAGCTATAAATGTTACGCGGATAACAGTCGAAGTGGATTATACACAATATCATCTATTAATAAATTGAAATATCAATCATTTTTTGTATTATAACCAGTGGCGTAGCTAGAAAAAATAGAAAATTTTGAAATCCAGAGCCTTGGAAACAGCATTTCCTGCGATTTCGAGGGCGAATTATTTGTTGTACAATAATTTATAAAAACCCATTTTTGTTAGCTGCATTCTTAATGTGGCAATCGTTGAAACTGCAACTAGTTAAAAGGTACTAAAGGTGGCTCAGAGAAACGTTACGCAGGAGACAATTGTCCCCTAAAACATAATTTACTCATCACTGCCCTGCATAAACAGAAGAAATTTGTATTAGCACAAAAAATAATATAGTATACGACACTTCTAAAGTGCATAGAGAGAGATTTTTCTTAGCATTCTACTTGTTAGTTTAAACTTGTTTAGATTGGGGCAAGTAGACAGGGATGGCTTTATTCTTTAAAGTTATGCTTAATTTTCTCAATGAAGTACCATGTATTATACGAACAAATATCAAAACACATACTATACTCATCATTTATAAAAAAGGCCAGCCTCCTGGGTTTTTCTACAAATTTTTCAACCACCTCGTTATGCAACACCTCTGATTCCTCTTTCTTTTCAATGATATCTTTGTGAATAGATATTCTACACAAAGAGCTAAGCCGACCTTGACCCATTCTATTTCTTAAATAGCTTTTTACCCTTTTTAAGCAAGAAAACGACCTCTCTACTGAAGCACTTGCCACTGCCAACACACCATTCAATTTTAACAAATTTACCACTTGACCTAAACTCGACTGGAGATTAAATTTGAAGATGTATTTAAGAACCTCATTACTGCACTCTTTGTGAAAGTCCTTGTCGTTGTAAATGAAGGAAAGTTGACTCTCCAAAGTTTGGATGTCAAAAAGAGGACTATACTTATCTTTGAGAAGATTGATCTTCTCCTGTGGAACTATGCCCTTCCATGTAGTAAATAGTTTAGGATTTACAAGGTCTAAAAACTCGAACTGATTAATATCTTGAAATCGTTCACTTAACATGCCTTTAATGGAATCAATAATCTCAAAATAAAGCTGTTTGTAATTGTATCTACTATCTGCTCTGGTTGCTGGTGGGCCTACTTTTTCTAGTGCAGTTTGGTAAAACTCGGTGAAAGCTTGATCTGTGCGAAGTGACACAATAAACTGCTTGAAATTGTCAATCTTGCTTATGCCATAGTTAAAATGGGTTTCCCTATTTTGAAGAATGGAATACAAAATTGTGGACTGTTCTAAAATCCTGTAAAAAACACACCCAAAAAACAAAAGAGAAAGCTATTAAGATAATGCAGTAAGCCACTTATTTTACTTAATGACTCATCATCCCACCCAGCTGGTTGTTCAAGTACCCCCTCAAAAATATCTAAAAGTTTTTCATAGTTTTTGTGCAATACATTGATTAATCTAGAGCGATAATACCATCTTGTTTCACCAGGGGCAGGAAACTCAAGGTTGTTAGATGTGAGAAAAGCTTTTCTTTTTGGGGCATTGCTTGTAAATGTGCTGAATGTAGCTATATTAATAAAAAGATTTTAACAGGAGAAATTGATGAGGCTGACTGGCATAGGACCAGGTTCAATCTATGAGCTGCACAATGAACAAAATGAGCAAGGATACTCTTGTCGACAATGCTTGAACACCATTGATATGGCCAGACATGACAGAAGCACCATCATATGTTTGTAAAACCAGCAGTGGCGTGCGGTCATGCAAGCGCCATACTAAACATTTTACGAACAAGAAATTTTTGGATGAGCAAAATCAGTTTAATTTTCTGTTCTAAACAATGTCAATGTAATCTTTTGTCTAGAATTGTCTTTGGTTGAAATGCTTGCCTTTATTTATGCACTGATTTACTGTCATGGTTTCAGTTTCCTTTTGCTACTCTTGTAAGATGGTCAAGTGTATTATTATTTGTGTCTTTTCTGTGTAGTCGATACCATTGTCATGAAGATTGACTCTAGATTCGAAGATCTTAACAGCAGAGCATTCGTTTCTTGTTTGATCATTCAAAGCAGGTGTACAGCCGGAATTTTTCCCAGACAGAGAGCTGCAATCGTTGCAAGATCATATGGAACATTCTTTAATCTTCAAGCACTAAAAGTGGAACTAGTCGTTAGCATACGCATCTGCCGAAATAAATCAGAAACCTGAGCAGTTATCAAAAAATAATCGACTTGACTTGAAAGCCATTTTTCCAGGTTGCCGATTATGTCAGCTCATTCTTACTATGCCAAATTACGTCTCCTCTGCAGAAGATCATTTCGGCTCTCAAGTGTATCAAAACGTATCTTCGCAATTACACAGAGCAAGAGCGACTTTCTGCATTGGCTACAATTTAAATCGAAGAAGGAGATGTTTGTAGGTTTACTTGCGGAAACCACGATTCTATGAGGACGTTTAAAGGTTTGCGCAAAGGAAGAACGGATGGAATTTACATTTAAAGTAAATCTGTTGTAGGACTTTGGACTATTTCGTTCTGTTACTTCTTCACTACAATGAAATGCATAGTAGCCATTTACTTAAAACGACTTTATGTAATAATACAAATGTAGCTTTAAACCATGTGTGATATATATATACTCTATAAGCGTTTTTGAATTTTTAGATTTTTCAATACTGTTTCAGTCATGACAGATACATTTTCGACAAAGTACTCCCAGAAATCGCGGGAAATGCGCTCCAGTAGCCTTCAAAATCAAAAAGAATTTCTGGAACAACCCCAGAACCCCTAGAAACTTCATGGCATGCCGCAACACTAGCCTTGCCTATTAAATTCGGTCACCGCACGCCACTGAAACCAGTTTTCTTTATATTAGAATACTCTACCAAGTTTATCTTTGACAACTTGATATTGCTGTGGCATTTCTGTTCATACCCCATCCACAAATCCAATACTCTCCATAATTTCACTTGCTTTGTCAAGGACACTTAGCTGCTCTTTGTTGGAGACATCCAGATGCTTCATCAACCGGAATGCTCTTAATGTGCGATCATTTATTTCCTTTCTGATTTCATCTTCAATAATTGAATCAAGACAGCTGATAAAGACCATTTTGAATTTCTGGGAGACTCCAGTAAATCTTCTGTCACCAACTATATCAGATTCTGCTGATCTGCAATGCAGTGACGCTCAGAAATACAGAATCAAACTTAGCAAAACATTCGAGCGCTCTCTATAATTACCTTTGTTCAAAATACCTTCGGACTCATTGTGACCTCTAAATGGCAGCTGCTTTGACAATACAGCATGGCCTCAGTAACAGTTTTTAAAATTTCTCGATTTTGTCTTTCCTCATTGTTGACGCTGTCTGTTTCTTCCTGAGGACATAAGACAATCAATTCGTTCACTAGCTCCATACGTTTTCCATGTCTTAAATGCAGTCAAATGCGATTTAGATTTTCATCTTCTTGGCATCGACATAATACTCCGCATCGTTTTTGTATTCTTAGTCCACGATGGCGATGTTTTGGGAAAACATTGGACATGGCCAACAAAACACTTTCTGGATTTGTACTGCCACACAGCCAGTCAGCGCCTCATACCAATCTCTCTGAAATGCTCTTCCCTTATTTTTGGATAGTTAAATCAGGATAGGCCGTTCTTGAACGATAACAATTCTGTTCGATGACGATCGAGCAGAGAACGGTTCTAGCTAATAGCTATTTTACTAAATCAATCAGTTGAGCAAATGCAGTCGCACTTGAAGCCATGTGTCGTCTACACAAATACAAAATATGTTTGAAATGGCTTTGTGGAAAGTATTACCGACAATGACACGTATATTGGTAATCAATCGCTGTACTCGTATTATTAAAAGTCGAATAATTACAACCTCCGCCAATTTAAAACCGGGTTCGACTATAAAAACAGCAATTTGAACATACGTCAAGTCCCTTAGCCAACCAGAATTCAAAATAACATAGAATTATATTGTATGTTCCACCCACTCTGAAAATGGGCGGAATACGTGAAATCCTTGAGTGGCAATAATGAGAAAGGCTGACTGGGTTACAGTAACAAATCTTGAGATTTTGCTGTATTACGATTGAACCACCTAATAAAAGCGTAAATATGAACGATAAAACATGTACAGTGAGGGAAATAATGTATATCTTATGTCCAAATAGAATATTTATTATTTTGGAATTTCCTTGCTGGGCGAATTAGCGTGTTTCATAATACGCCATTCCTCGCGCTATGTTTGTAAAGTGCCTCGACACCAACTAAAGGGACATATGCGTGACCGAAATGACAATGATTACTAGTATCATTTTGCCTTTAACTTTTTTCAGTTTGTTGAAATGCATCGACACTAGCAGTGATGAGAACTTAAAAGACGATTTTGCAAAGTTGTTACAAAGTATTCCGCTTTCATCGAGACATGTGCGAAAGCGAAACGTTCCAGCCTACATGAAGAAATTATATGAAATGGAGAAGCGACGCTCCACTTTCATAAATTCATGTATTTTAATGAAGGTTTGTCTCTTTGCCTTGTCGAAATCTATTTTGACAAAGGACATCTTGTAGATGTTCGTAGTGTATTATTTACTATGATGGGAATCCATTTATTTTTCAGAAAACAAGCTTTACGAAAGAAACAGCATTCACTTCAGTTGAAAAGTGTGAAGATAAAGAGGCTCGTCCCATACAGCTGCGTGTATTTAAAAAAGAGATCAGGGATCGAAATCCACACACGATATGTATTTCATACATCTTTATCAGTCATATGAATTCATCCAT